AGCAGTACTAGAGCTACGAGATATATTTGATGGAGGAGGAGTTCCAATTGATCACTACATTATTCAAGTGGATAACGGCACACAGTTGGAAACTCCAGGCCCCACTTACAGTTTTGACATCATGTACAATACTACACTGTCAGTGAACATCTCAGCCCACAACTGTGCAGGATACAGTGATCCCTTACCACTTGAGATAAAATATCATCAAGGTGGAGTTTATTGGTTAAATATGATATGACCTAACACTACACTCACCAGATTCAGTGGAGGATAGTACACCCAGTATGACACAAAGGCCTGATGGTTCCTCAGTTCTTGTGATTGTGGTACCTGTATCAGCTGCTGGGGCACTTATTGTCATCACAATATCTGTTGTACTCATTTTTGTGCTAAAAAGGACATGTAAGTTGCTGGCATTGTCAAAGTGTTGATTATGTCTTAAATTCATAGGTAGTACTAATAAAAACAGACAGCAGGAGAAGTGTGATGTGGTGGAGAACTCTGCTTATGGTGTCCATGTTCAAGGTTCAGCTGGTGATACACTGGAGCCAGACTACAACATGGAGAATAACCCACTGTATGAGATGAGGATACTGTCAAATGAGGGACACTCACACAAGACACAAACACCGGCTCCAGTCCCTGTGTATGAGACTGTTGACAGTGTTGCTCTATAAAACTTGTTTTTTCCTATTGTTGAGAGTATAAATACTGCTACATTACAAAACCTTTTAGCTTAGTATATACCTTGTCCTGACAAACAGCATGGTCCTGATTAGGCCACTCCAAGTTGCATTCTGGTTTCTTGTCAGGGCCTTTTCAAGTCAAGATGAGTGCTGGCGTGTTTTACTCATTAGTCCGCATTAGTAATATGACCACAAAAATTCGTAGTGGGAAGGCAGTCAAAACAAAAAGAGGAGACCAGTACAAAGCCATGAGTATACACACAGCGCAGCATGCCCAAATTAGGCCGTTCTTTTGCGGGCGGCGGACTAGAAACCGGTATACAACATGGAGTGGCCTTACGGATATGGTAGTGTCAACCGGTGACTATAGCTAGCACTACCTAAAATGAAAGGGTGCAAACCTCCTCGCGGCGCAAGCGACGTGGTTTTACACGCGGCACCCGTAGCGCAAAGCGGTGTGTCGATGATGACTTCACCTCCTTTGACGGTTCGGGCTCCGCCGCGGAGGCTAACGTGACGCGTGTTCTCGGCCAATCGGAACATTTTCACTCTTCGAAAATCGAAGTTTGGAGTAAGGGTTCTGGTAGAAGAAATCAGGCCAAAGAGAAATATCCTATTCATTGGACTCTTGTTTCAAGGTGTGACATTGGACAATGCTCTATCTGCCATCTACACAAGGCGATTATGAACTGGAGTGCCAGCTCTGCAACCACTGTCTTTTCATTCCTGTCCCAATGAATGTGTGACATTTTATTATTATTATTATTATTATAATATTATGCCTTACAACACAGTTATTACAAGGACGATGTAAAGAAAGTGGTAATGAGAATAATGATAAAGACTGTGTTGAGGGACTGCAGGCAAAGAGCCAGCATCCGAGAAAACATAACCAACACACAAATACATACATTAGTGTATTATAATGAATTACTGCTGAAGTGCATGTTGACAGGTAGTGAAGAGCATTTGTAACACAGACATAAATAGTGATAGGAGCATTCGTCATTGGGATTGAAATGGGAGATGAAATGGTCCCAGAAGTAATTGTGAAGTTTGGATTTGATTAAAGAGAGATGAAGACTAATATCCAGAGGAGGGAGAGAGTTCCATAATCGAGGCATGCGATTGAAGTAAAATATTTTTTCATTATAGTTTCTGGAAACTGTGTGTTTAAGCTTAAAATTGGAGCTTGAGCGAGTATGATGAGCACTGAACTGCAAAAAATCGAAAATGTTGAAGTGGTCCGATGGATACCTCATAGACTTGATGAAAAATATTATGTCAGCAATTACTAGTTCCATCATCAAAGGTAACAGTTTAAGATGAATTAAACGATTTCGATAGTCCATAGAAGTATCATTCACTATGAACTTAGTCGCCCTTCTCTGAAGTAGCTCAAGGCATTTCACATCAGCCAATAAGTAAGGCCACTACATGTAGTGACAGCCAGGTGTCTGTCATGAAGTGGAAGGTGGAACCTCGTCCAATGAGTGTTGATCTGACTTATGTTCCTTCACAAATGATGGCTGACCCAGGAAGGCTGACAATGAATAGCACCAACAATGTACTCCTCTCAACTCTTGTACATTTGATGAGAATTTTGCAAACATGACATCAACTCTAGCAGTGGCAATGTCTGGCGTGAGAAATGGAACAAATGTCACTTGTATCACTTTTGTTAGGAATGATGAGTGTAACATGACTGCTACCATCTATGTTGCAGGTTGGTGAGCAGAACCAGAGGGATATATAGGCTTTGGGTAATCTTGTGATGAATATTCATTCTTTTGAGATGTACCTAAATCTATTAAAGCAGATGGCGTTGTAAACCAAGAGAAGGAGATGTTATTTTGAAGTTAGCTACCTTTTGGTTTTTTATATACCCGACCTCAAGGCACCCTCAATGACATACCAAGAGAAGGAGACATATTTCACAGCAGTACTAGAGCTAGGAGATATGTTTGATGGAGGAGGAGTTCCAATTGATCACTACATTATTCAAGTGCCAGACAACGGCACACAGTTGGAAACTCCAGGCCCCACTTACAGTTTTTACATCATGTACAATACTACACTGTCAGTGAACATCTCAGCCCACAACTGTGCGGGATACAGTTATCCCTTACCACTTGAGATACAGTATGAAGATAGCTACCTGATTCTTTGCTCATTATTAAACTTTAAATAACAAATAGAATGTGACACCTACCCCTGACGGCTCTAATGGTGGCCTTCGCCATTCAGTATTGGAGCTAGCAGGTCTGATTGGAATTTGGGTCTTCCTCCTGATTGTAATGAAAAGCACTGAAGTGCAAACCCTCGGCGAACTGCGCATGCGCGGTATATTAGTATGCGGTCTCCCGCTAGTATATAGCTCGCAGAGAGTCTGACACGGGCTAGCTACAGTAGTAGATAGCATGCGAGAGTCGATACACGCCCTTCGTTGTGACTTCTTGTGCCTTCAAAATACACAGAGCAAGCAGACCCGGTCCTGTGCTAAATATAAGCGCATGCGCATTTTCCGCAGCGATAAAAATGGCCGACTACGCATTAGCCGTACAATGGTGGAAGCGCTCTAGCTTTGCAACGGAGCGTTTTCAGAGAAAACCGTTCGAAATTTCTGACCTTCATTGCCCGTTCAGTAGGTGGTATCCTTTGTGAGACGAAAGAACACTCGAGAAGTGAGATGAAGAGTAACAGACAGACTGACACACAGACAGACAGACCCAATGAAAAGCACTAAAGTGCAAACCCTCGGCGAACTGGGCATGCGAGGTACCACTGATTGATGGGCTGGGCTGCTATTAGTATGCGTTTACTCGTGGTCTCCCGCTAGTAGCTCGCAGAGAGTCTGACACGGGCTAGCTACAGTAGTACATAGCATGCGAGAGTCGATACACGCCCCTTCGTTGTGACTTCTTGTGCCTTCAAGATACACAGACACAGAACAAGCGGACCCGAGCCTGTTCAAAATATAATCGCATGCGCATTTTCCGCAGCGATAAAAATGGCCGACTAGCATTAGCCGTACAATGGCGGAAGCGCTCTAGCTCTGCAACGGAGCATTTTCAGAGAAAACTGTTGGAAATTCTGACCTTCATTGCCCGTTAGGTAGGTCGTATCCTTTGTGAGACGAACAGACACTCGAGAAGTGAGATTGAGAGTAACAGACACACACACACCCAACTACAGTACCCTCGCTGCGCATGCGCGCCGAGGGTTAACAACACTGGTGACAGTGTCGTCTTTATACTTCATTCGAAGAGTTAGTTGATGAGAGTATTGATTCTCAACTTGTCCGTAATAATGTATTAATAGGGCAAAAAGAAAAATTTCCATTTCTACAAAATATCAGGTAGCACCTAAAACCTCTGGCTTGTAACAAAAATAATGATGTCTTTTGTAGAATGGTTAACTCTGAGAGTAATACTATAATTGACCGGCACAGCAATAATGGGACCCCAGCACCTGTAGACTACTCCTATATCCCGGTATGATAGTTAGTGTGTTGTCCCTCTAAAGAGGGAGAAGTCCTGGTAACTTTCCAATTGCATACTTGTGCTGCTGTTACGATCCTACAGTTTACATAATTATTTTAAGACTGAACTTGCAGCAACAGGATAGTCACCTGAATCCTACCCAGCTGTCCGAAGGGTCTTATTTTTCCACTCTATTAGAGAGTCGGTAGACTCTCTATATAGGGATGACACGGGTGAAATCTCACGTGATCCGCGTACAAAACGACTAAAAACTCGGTGAGAATCACTTCCTAGGCCTTCAAAACATGCTAGCAATAGTCTACGGGCCCATATCTACTTATACATGTCCCCCAAGAGCTCATACGCACCTTCAGTCGTCCACGCGAGAATTCGCTCGTACGCGATTTCACGATTTTCGTGTCATCATATTCTTCATCTTCTTCTTCTTCTTCTTCTTCTTTAAACCCGCCATCTCCTTACCAGTACCAGTTCAAGCACTGATTTTTTCACTGAAGGTTTCCAATTTTGCCGGAGGTGTGCACGGACATCAAGCGATCGTTTCTTTCTTTCCGCTAGTCACTACGGTAGATCATGGAGCTCTTCCATGGTCGACCTGAACAACGCCATTTGCTGCTTACTCAGCATCAGTGATCCGCGCGCATGCGCCAGGCAGGGGCGTTGTCCAATGTGCTGCGAGCGTACTCTACCGGGCGAGTTGGCAGACCTGCAGAGGAACTGTCAGCCTCCAGTACCTTCTGTAAGTAAGTGTGCATATTTTCAACTGGCTAGCTTGCTGTTGATTTGCACGAAGAGCAATTTGCCAGAGTCTGCGCGGTGTTACGCGAGCCTTGCGGGGCACTCAGTCAAATGGGCCTTCATTGTTTGTCCCCCCAGGTTGTAGCCTGATTACCAAAGCCTGCCAATGAAACCACAACCATGTGCAATAATCTAATTACATCCTTGTTGAAGACTATACGGTATCTAGCAGCCCCATTAGCTACTACTTTTAACAGTTACTATGGTAGCCTATCTACAAATGAACATCAGAGTGACTGTAACAATTAATGCAGTGTTGCCATAAACTGTTAAAAATAGTGGAAACAAGTGGAAAAATCATTTCTTCAAAATGAAAGGGAGATATAGGGATGGCTTGAAGCACCAAAAAGGAAGAAACAAGGGGTCATTACACAGCAAAGTTGCACAAAGCTACATGACACCATCCCTATATCTTTGTTTTATTGTTTATAAGCAAAGTTTAATATCAAACAATATCAAACAAAGATATAGGGATGGTGTCATGTAGCTTTGTGCAACTTTGCTGTGTAATGACCCCTTGTTTCTTCCCTATATCCCCCTTTCATTTTGAAGAAATGATTTTTCCACTTGTTATATTACAATCTGTTGAAACTTTCACACATGTATTTGCTGTTGCACATTACAGCTACCAGACAGCAGGAAAAGTGTGATGTGGTGGAGAACTCTGCTTATGGTGTCCATGTTCAAGGCTCAGCTGGAGCCAGACTACAACATGG